GGGGGGGGGGGGGGCATCCATCCATTCCAACGCTCCACGGCTATTACCCGAGCGAACTTCTCAACTTCTCAAGTACCGTAAAGTACTACATGCGGGGGGACCTAGCACTAAATATTAGACTGCCCCCCATGGGGATTGGAGACCGCCGGGGCGGCCAGACCTACCCACTTCGTCGTACCCCAGTAGGCAAGTTTTTTAAAGTGCTTTCCGAACCAATCACGTCAACTTTTTTGGGCCCCAAACCCAACCATATCTGATTATGGCAGGTACATGCCCTACCTTTTTTCTACAAGGCAGTTTTCACGGTCATATAGGCCATGACAGCGCTATTGATTTTTTATGTCAGAAATATTTACAACAGATGAATCGCGGTTTCCGCCAACATTGAGCTCGTGGCATCCGGAACATCGTCAACGTAGCTCTTGGGGATTCGTAGATTAATCTCATTTGACGATGAATCTGAAGGTATGAGTCTTGTCCAATGCTGGATTCTCCATCGTCATGGACGTTCTGCGACATTTGCGTGCCGGATTATTGTCGGTCGATTTCCGGATATTATACCATGTTAGTCGCTTCGAGGCTGGTCTGTGGTTGCTCTTGCCTCTATCATGTTGTACATTGTACGATCAGAAGGTACCGTACCGATGATGAAACACACAACTTTTTATCTCTTGAAGGCGCCTTCCTTATGTGAACAGCTTCACTCACTTACAACTTCCAAGCACGTGACAGCGTTCTTCAAAACAATCACAAAGTTAAGACTTCATCCAGCTTATGCGACCAACATTTTCAATATTTTCCATCTGTGGCTTCTAACCCATGTATGACATCCAATCAAAGCTACTCCTCTTTTCCTCCTCACTGCCGCTGCTTGCGCCGTTACTTGGAGAATAACACGCACGAGATAACCTTGCGAAAATGAAAATCGCTTCTCGTTAGGGTGTCAAGCGGAGACAAGGCTCGTGCGGAGCAAAGGAAGAGCAACGCAACGCAACGCAACACCAAGAATAGTTCCTCGTCTATCTTTTTCTTCTCCATGCGCTGTCGCGCAAATCACGTACCCTTGCCTACCTACCAAGACAAATGTACTGTGTCATAATTCACAACCACGGCTTTATGCTGATCCTTTTGAAACAACAAGGAATACCAAAGGCAGGTCTGAGACTTCGAAAAGCAATAATACAGTATGACCGGAACAACAAATCAGTTACCCCCAAACTCTGTTGTCTCGAATGATAGGATCAAACAGATCCCTCAGGCGCTTGGGGGTTGTTCTTAGGCTATCTGCTTATTCAATGCAGGACTTCCTGCCTGAATGTCAAGCTTTGCAAACTTGTGTTTGCCGTATCTTGCCAGAAGCTTGACAACTGAGACCACCATTCTGATGTTCTCTGCCTCCACCTCTGCGCTTGCCTCCACGCAACTGCAATGCACCCGCAGTTAGAACGGGCACTCAACACCATCACAAAGCATAGTGGTGATCAGCCTCTGCGCCAAGATCCCAGGGTCCTTGTTCGAGGGCGACGTGTTGGGGGCCTCCGCTTGCAACTTTGTTGAATCAACCAAGTCTTACTAGACTGCCATTGGACGACCCGTTTACACCAGCCTTGTCGTTTTCAAACAGTTTACACCAGCCTGAATGGCTCGCGTCTAACTTGACTGGGGGCAACGGGCTCACTCGAGTTGGGGAACTGAACCAATTTCAGGTCTCCTCGGGTGAGGTCACGGTTGGCCATTTTCAGAAACGTCCCCGGGCATATTTACCAAGTACGGAGTACAGATATGCACCTTGACAGTATCAACAGTATGAAAGGTCCTTTTGGTAATTGCTCGTTCTATCAATACCTAGACCTAGACCTGATGGGTTTGGCTCAGACAAGCGAGTTCTGGGGACACTTATGGAGGTGCGGGGACTGATGGTCGGTGCGTGTGGGGTAGTCTAGATTTAGGATCTGGCATGGCATCCAGACGCGACTGAGACGAGAGATCAGGCTTAGGCTCGAGTTTAACTCTCAACATGGACTCACAGTCTCCAGAGCTTTGCATGGGAATATGAGAGCTCATGGGGATTTACCCTGTCCTGTACATGCCGCCACTATGCAGGTAGGTATTCACTCTGCACTATTATGCCGCCGCCCCCTGAAGGTGCAGACCGCTAGATGATGGATCACGGGTAATAGTGCTGGCTTTTACTCAATCTTCGGGGTTTGCCCCCCGCGTGAGGCTTCATTTCCCCGTGGGGTTTTCTATCATAAACCGCGTGTAAGCCGAGCCCACCCTTTTCTTTCTCTCCGCCGGGATGCTACCGAGCCCAGAGGAAGAAGGTTTGTTGATGATTCCGAGCTACGGTACGCTGCATCATTTGTTGACCTGATCAAGTTAAACTTATATGGACACCTACCTGACTCGCATTCTGCACAAGATGCGCTACCTTGCGAGTTTGGACGGCAATTACACCATCAATATTGCTCTGCCCTGGAACGCCAACAATTAAGTTCAGCCAATTCAACATTTTACGTGCTCAAAATCCGGGGTCCCCAAATGGTCCCGAGATATCCTTTGCATCCGGGGTAATAGAGAAAGATGCGGGGTCATGGACGACAGTGCCATGTGTATGAGTACTGTGTGTATATATCAGGAACCGTCAAAACAGTGATCGGGAACTCGGATATCATGCCGAGGACTCTTATACTTACCTCGGTCAAATCTACAACAAGGGAAAGGATCACTCAAATCCTGTTCACTTGCCGATATATCAGAGTATTACTCAGGTTCTTCAACGGATCTGTATATTCTCAAAGCGCATAATGCTCGTGATAGGTACCAGGCCGGATTCAGAGTGTCTGTTAATGATATAAGACACTAACAATGCCTGTGTCGGCTGGTGCTGGCATGCAGTCTTTCACTTGGTCAGGATGACTGTAATTGTCAAACATACATACAGCATTGGCTAAAGATATCTTCAAACGGGGAGCCGGTGTCCAATTACAAATTATGGTCACTCAGCATCCCTTGCACGAGCGATGCCCTTGTGAAATACACACCTCCAACCGCCCTCTTATATCCTGAGGCCTGCCGCAATAAGTGAGCACCAGATTCAGGTATGACATCAAAGCAATTTGGTGTCTTGCCTCGTCCTTCTCAGCCTTGGAGTGAGTAGCCGACTTGACCGCTCTCGCTGCCTAGTTGAATCAGACGCTGTCTCATGTCTTCAGCTCGTCGCCTATCGTTTTCCAGGAGCCGCTCAAAAGCACACCTATCGACCCAGCCACCAACTCCGTGCTGTAATACGTTCCTTGCTCGAAGAGTGCTTCCCTGTACATGGCCGACTGAGCCATGTAGCGTCATTCGCTCCTTGTTGCTCTTGTAGGCGCCGCGATGCAGAATATTGTTGTTGTAGAACACAATATCACCTGGTTCTAGTTTAACAATAAGCTGATCCGGCAGAGACTTTTCAAAGGGGTCGGCGTTTCGCTCAGTCAAGGTTCTCGCGCGCTTGTGTGAACCAGGCACAACGATGAGAGAATCATCCTCCCACAAGGCAAAGTTATACTGAGCATGATAGGCATGCTTGCCAAGACGCTCCATTTCTTCCTCTTCACTAGCCTCAGCGGGGATATCATCGCGGTGCCATCTTAACTCGAAGTCTTTTTCTGGCCTGACAAGCATGTTGAACAGCTCCATCACGAGATGTTCATCTTGGCACTGCAGAAGCTGCTTCACGATGCCCAGTATGGTCTCGGAAAAGTATAGCTCGGTAAAGAGGTCATGGCCTGGAAGTTCAGGATTCATGAGATGTTGCACACCCCATATCCCGTGCTCGCGCGCTTGGCTCGCGTCCCATGGTGGGAATTGTTTTGGGACCGTACGTACAAACGGCCATTGTCCGTCACGCGCCAGCTGAGTCGCTTTAGAGCTAACTTCGCGCAACTCTTGGAGCTTATCTTGTTCCACGATTGACTTGATGACAACAAAGCCATCTCTATTGAGATCTTGAAGGTATTGCGAAGTCGGCATGATATGATGTGATTGATAGTGCTGACTTGGTGCCGTAACCCGTCTATTGCGGCTTGCGGTGCGGTGCGGTGTAGTGCGCGGCGCGGGATGTTGCGGCTGTGGACCGCCGGTAAAATAGGGCAGAATTCCGTACCCCTCTTGAGGTAATGCTAAGCACTTTGGGGATACAAGCTGGTGACGACTTTTCGGCCAGAAGGCTCTGCTTTGCGCTGCAAGGTCAGGGGACCAGAGGTTGGAGATGCTTCGGGATATCTCGAGACGAAGCGAGACTTGGCGCGGATACGTACAGAAAGAGTTTCAGTGATGTTGAACAGTTGCAGGTAGTAGGTCCAAGTCTTTCTTCGTGTTACGGGAGCCCTCTTTATCAACGCATGTGGGGAACTTCGCTACTGTACGGCCGGCTTGTTGCATCTGCCATGTTGGAGGTCAAGTAACGTAGCAGTTGGAGTATTGTTCGTAGTCAGACGCCTCGCGTGTATTGAGATTCACGCCAGTATCAACTTTTGTTGTCATAATCGTCATTCATTATACCGATTTCCATAATCCCTATCACGAAGCCGTTTTTTCTATCTGCTATCCCAATGCAATCATCATAATCCCTCACCTGCATGCCTCAGCGGACCACCGCACAGCAAATCCCTTGACAGTCTTCTGGACATCCAAATCACCAGGATCGTTCTCAAACAACGGCTTGTCGAGCCTTCGTTCAGCGATCTGCTCCACCTCAAAGCCCTGCTCGCGTGCAATATCAAAGAAGCCCATGTCGAGCTCCTTCTTCCATGGTCGGTATGAGGTGAAGAATACGTAGGCTACGCTCTCGCGCGAGATCTTCAACGTCTCCTTGATCGTCTTGATCATATTTCCATGCTCGCTGTGTCGGAAGAGAAGGTCGGCGAGGATAAGAACATCGAAGCGCTCCTTGTGAGACTCGTCTGATGGGTTCAGACGACTGAGTAGTGGGATCGGGTCAGCACCCCAGACAAAGCCCATAGCATCGACGGTGTTGGCAATGCGACCATGAGGCTCAACAGTCTCGTCACACTCGTCGATGTTCTTCTGCATAATCCTGACGATATCGGGGTCCGGATAGTCTGTCACGACGACCTTGCGTGCGCCTAGAATAGCAGCGACAAGACTGGGAAGACCAGCAGCCGCACCGAGCTCGAGAACAGTCTTGTCCTTCACTCGAGAAGGGTCCTCCTCGAAAAAGTCGGCAATCATCTTTGCGCCATTCCACAGATGATGAGCCTCTGTAGGACTGGCGCCGACGAGATGCAGCGTGATGGGCTTGCCACTCTGCATGGTGAAGACCTGAGATGTAGGTGGGGGAGTGGGTGGGCAGTAATCCTCTGGGTCGTCCATGAGGTCACCGAATCCGTAGTCTATTTCTCCAGACATTGTGATAAGTGATGGCGTTGGTTTAAAGGTGAGTAGTTCTGAGATGTGAGTTTTGAGAGTCAGACTCGAGCGATACAATGCAGTATGACGAAGCGTGCGTAGTGAAGAGACCTCGTATACTGAATGAAGCTGAGACTACGATCTCAAATCCTCTTCTTCTGGGGTTTCCTATAGTTTTGCTTCAAGATCCTGCTCCTGGAGACCAAGTATCATCGGTTGATAGTGTTGAACGTTATGGAAAAAAAAAGAGTTTTGATCTGAGTGGTGGGCCAAATGTGCGCTTCACAGTGCGTGAAAAATCCACCTCTTTTTAACGCCATTACGTGCGAGAAGTATGCCGACAGAATAGCAATATATACGAAAAGAAAATGCGCCCATTACCACGGCCTCAACTTCGATAAGCGAGAAAGAATAGAAGCTCGTTCTATCCGAATCGCTGTCGCGCCAACTCCCTCAACATGCTCACAGTACCTTCTTCCCTCTCCATGTAGGCCCTCTTCCTTTCCTCCATCTCTTCCCTCTTTGCCCTGTCAATCTCCTCTCTGCGAATCTCCCTTTCCGTCTTGCGCCGTTGCTCCCTCTCTTTGGCTTTCTTGTACTCGTCCAGCGAATCTCCGCCGCCCATGAGCTCTTTCTCGTCGGTAACCTCCATAGCACCCGGACTCTTGTCGCGGAACGAGCGCATCTTGTCTGCAACAGCTGCCTTCTTCTCGAGCATGCGCTCGCGAGTCCCAGCTTCGGCGCGGGGGACTAGGTCATCAAGTCGTTCCTTTTGTAAAGTCCTATCGGCTTTGCGCGCGTTACGTAGGTCTGTAATGGACGCTTGCCTATCTTCCTCTGCAAGCTCGGCACGTTCAGAAATATCCTGTAGCGTAGGGATTCCTGGACCAGAGCGTCGCGCGCGGTCTGACCCTGGGAGGGGAGGTCCGTAGTCATCATCGTCGTCGTCGTTGCCTTGGTCTTTTGCATCCATCATGGGCTCCTCTCTTTCTTCCTTGTGCTCTGAAGCACGCCGTGACCGAGACGTATCTGGGTTTTCCGCGGTAATCCGAGCAAAAGTGTCGGGGTCGTACCATCCCGCTGCAAGTTCGTTGTGATTCCATTTTCCAACAAAACTCTTCCATCGGCCCTTGACCTCACGGTCATCCATAGTGTCGATGTTCTTTTGCTTCTGAACGCTGAGGTATTCACCGAAAAGAGGCTCAAAAACATTCAGGTCTGCTTTTGACAGAGGTCGGGCATCGTAAGGAAGCTCGACTGCAGCTTGCGTTTTACGACTTGAGTGATCCTTGTGTTTATGTGATGAACGGCGATGGTGATGATCATGAGGTCTGGATGATGAATGATGGCCGCTTGGCTCAGAAGATCGTCTATCATGCCGAGATGTTGATGTTAATTTTGACCGTCCATGCGCTGGTGATCTTGAGCGTGAGCGCGTACTCCTATAAGCAGTGTCGCGATCGTGGCTTCCTCTGTTGTGAGAGGCATAGTCACGGCGTGGTGACCTTTCGCGAATCCGGTCGTGATGCCCCATTTTGATACTGTAAGGCTATTGCGATGATTTTAGATGAGACATGCGGTTCAGATTCAATGTATCGATATAAATAAGTAAACTGAGATCAAAGCTCTAAAGAGATGAGATTTCAGGTCAAGGGATAGCACAGTGCGCTCCGCTTTTCTTCAACGTTTCACTACCAGTAGCCTGGTTGTCATTATTTACTCCAATTCTATCTATTTTCCCCAGACCTCATGATATAACTACTAAGTGCCTAGGAACACGATAAATGATAATGGTGAAGTGTGCCTTTGACATTTTAAGCCACCTCTTTTGCTGTTCATCCATCATCAGCTAAGGTCTGAAAATCAAATTCCCATAACCTTGCCGACAAGACACAGGGAGAAATGAAACTAATAATGAGTAAGCCACTCAGTCTTCAATTCGATAATGATTTGTTCAACTACATCATTTGCTTCTTTGTAGACGCTATATTTCCTGGTCGCCATTCGACCCTTCCATATTACATCTCAGCTCCTAAGGGGTATATCATCCTCCAAATTGACAAACTCGTGTCGTGATAGTCTTCTTCGTTTGTGCCGTTCACCATACGGCATTAGCAAACGAACAATAAGAGTAAATACCAAGAGCACCCTCTCCCCGAACAAACACCTCCTAGGCCTGGCTCTCCGTTTCTACCACTGCCTCGTTGTTTCCATGAATGACACAGCCTAGGCATTGACAATCGTCTCCGCAAGGGCAACTAGCCTCCTCGCCCGCACAAGAGTCTCCAAATGGATAGCTGACAAAGAAGAAGTCATTAGCCGACAATGCCTGCTCCTCGCTAATTCCGGAGGCTGCCTCGGAGGGGGTCTGGGGGGCGACTGGCGACACGGTGCCTTCGGCAGAGCCGACGGGTGGTACAGCCGGTGTGCTTCCGTTCATGTTGTGGCCATTTGTCGCCGGTACCTCGCCGTTTCCGTGCCCGTTGACATGGGTGTAACCGGTGTCCATCATACTCTGCCAAGCTGATTTTACGTAGTTCTGTGTCGCCTCGTTATAGGGATGGGCCGCACAACCAACACACTCACATGAGGCACCGCAACTACATTGATGAGAAGTGCCCGAGGCTGAGTGTGGAGTTTGAGTGGCTGTTGGGTTCTGGAACGGCGTCGCACCTGGCATGCCGTAAGGTGAAGGCATGCCTCCTTGACCAGCAAACGTCATCGTAGCCATGACCTGTCTCCATTGTTCCGGCTGAAGAGGTTGCAGATATGATCCATACTGAGGTGGGTATGTAAAGACTGTCGGTTGAGGATAGTAAGCATACATGCCGTTTGGCATCATGATAGATGCTGGGAAAGGCGACATCATCATACTGTTGGGCGTCGGTAGATCGTTGACTGGTATAGTATCGGTTTTATGATCAGCCTTGGGTGAGTCATTGTTCGAAGAGCAGCAACTCTTTTTGGGTTTGGGAGGGCTCGGCGCTGCAGTAAGAGTTATGGGTGTAGATGCAGCGTTATTGGAACTCCCTCCTCCGCAACAAGAGCCGACTTTGGGCGCAGGTGGATTCGATTCTTCCAAGACATGTGTACTTGTCATTGAACCTGACTGGTTGGCCATTGTCCTTTTCGAGATATCCGGACTCAGAATAGGGGGTTGGACGTGTTGGAACATTGGATACATAACAGGACCAAAGGGGCTATCTGCAGGAGTCATTCCCATACTCCCATAGGGATTCATATCGGCAAGGGGCGTGGCAGACTTTTGAGCAGTGTCCTCAAAAGAAGGTAAGATGTTGAGCATTTTAGGGTCCATCCGTTGCAAGGCCGCTGGGTCAACTGATTCTCTCCGACTTGAATTACTCCCCTTGGAACTAGTCTTTTGTACTCGATAGCCCGAGCCCGGTGTCTTGCTAACAGGGCTCTGGGGTGTCGAGCTGCTTGCACTGTCGCCATTCTCGGGCTTGAGGATTGGTGATTCGGCATCTTTGCTGGGACCACAATGGCAGGCTTGTTTCTTGGGTATGGCAGCCGTAACTCTTCCACAAGAGCAAGGGCGTGAAGCCGGATGGGGGCAGCTACTTAGAGGTCTGCCCGGCTTCCTAACGGGCACCATTAGCCGCTCGTTGGCGTGTGTGCATTTGGTTGAGCGATGGCCTCGGATGCAAGGCTCGCTACAAGGTCAACAGTTAGTTAAATCTGCCGAGTCGCGGGTCCCGATTGTATCAAAGGGCAACATACCAGGCCATCTTTATTCCGTTGATGAGAGGCATGATGGGGTCGGGAGGTACTACTTCTGGGGGGTATTAGAAAGATTGACCTCTCAAAGGGGTGCAAAAAATATTAACCTAAAGACCAAGTCTGAGGTGGTATAAACTGAACCACTGTTTTCGTCTCTTGCGTTCTCAGCAGTCAAGTTTTCTCGTGCCCCAAGTATGTACGACGGATGACAGAGGTGGAACAAGCCGGATGGGTTGTGAAAGATTTTGGCCGGCGCAAAGCCGCAACGTGAGCCTACAAGTGCGCAATTTGGACGAAGCTCGACATGGAAATGTAAGGATCCGTATGAAGCGACGCGAATTATTTGACGATAATCGACTCGACGGTTCAGAACGTTTGCGCAATGAGCGAGGGGCTACAAAAGGCGAGGCTTGCGTCGGCTGTAGCACAAGTCGTCGATCTCGAGGCGGGGGGTCGTTAGTTGATGCGATGCGATGTTATCATAAGGCGCTCGAACTCGAGGATATACTGATGATGACCTTGACGTACACGGGCCGTAAGAATGACTGATTGTGGCCCAATATGTTCTATCGCGGGCGTTGTGTTGGAAGCAGAAGGTGAAACAAAGCCAACAGGTCCGAAGAAGGTGCGATCTTGAACCAGGCCAGGCCTAGACTATTACCACCTATTATTCAGGGACCCAACCTTCCCGTTCTGCGTCTGCCGCTCCCTTGTCAGCAGGAGCGAACGGCGGGTTTCTTACCTGCAAAGGTGCATCGTCCCCCCACCATGCGGGGGCTGCAGCGGACAAGCTAACAGCAGGAAGCGCTCCAAAAAGGTGTCTAATCCTAGCGAGGCACTTGATTAGCAAGATCACTGCGACGCTAGTGACAAGCCAAACTTCAGGTGCGTCCATCATTTGTTTGATGTCCGCTCAGATCCTCTGAGAATAGACGTCGGTTGTACTGTGTTTAAGGTTACGAAACAAGTGATTTGCATAAGGCATTAGATATATCGAGTCCATAGACAAGTAAGTATATCGGGTAGCTGACGGTTTATATCCAACGTCTTTGAAATTAAACATGAGCTTTACGTCAACAGCATCCAGAAGCCAAGGCCGAATCCATTCCGCGGCCCCGTTCCTTCCCAGAGACCACAAACCCATTCATTTCCCGGCCGCCGATACGGAGAAGTGCATTTGATCGGCCGGAGACCCGATGATTTACCTCCGTTCGACGGCCGATACTGACTTTATACCCAGCAGATGTCGCCAATACAAGGAAAAATACATTTAAACCCCTTTCTTAATCTTGATAGTGTCTACTAAACAATAAAACTCCCTCTTTACCGTATTTTTTATCCTCTTGCCGCTTTGCTCTTCCCTCTCCACTACTGTATGCTCGCTCCATCAGCCAACCTGGCCGGTGAGCAAGTTTCCATTGGCTCACGGGCCCCGGCCACTTCAACACCATCATAGCTCATGCACAAGTCTCTTGTCCTTTTTTTTTCTTCTCCTTCCTCGTCTTGTCTTGTCTTTCTCTGATGATGATGCACACCAAGACAGTCGATAATCTCCTTTGCATTATTATTCTCCGTGACGTAACATATACTTTGACAGTTGTAAAAGGCACGGTCCGCTTGTTAGCTTGTACGCAGCCCTGGACCTGGACATCGTCAGCCTCTTTAACCAACGAAGGGACAGTGATTACAAGCGTTATTTAAACATGTGCTTTACACGACAGCGTTACATGGACTGTCTGTTCTAGGTTCATCTCCCGTAAGATCCTCGTCTAGTTTTGCCACGGCTTCCCCTAGTTGCTCGACAAGCACATCTCTTGATATGGATTCTCGCTTTGATATTGGATCTTTTCAAAGTGATCTTCAAAAGACCTGGCGTCACACATCATCTAAGACACATCCGATTTCTTGGTCCGGTCTGGGCCTTGGCTGTGGTTTTACGCTGTTGAGTTGCGCCATCTTGCAGATCGGAACGGTTACGCTTAATTCATTAACTGTTATGTATCCACGAGCTTCGCCTATCGTTATGCGCCCTTCTCCTTATCCGAATCGTCAGAGTCCGCAAACATGTCCACCGCTCGCATCCGCCTTCTAGGCGGTCCGGCTCTGGACGAGTCTTCTTGGACCTTGTTTCCGCTTTCAGCAGGGGTTTGTTCCGAAGGTGCTGGTGGTGGCGGTTCACTTCCCATAGCCTCATCCTCGTCCATTGGTTCTCCAATCACTTCGTCCTCGTCAATCGGCTCACCTTCGATGTCATCCTCATCAATATGCTCCCCTTCGACGTCGCCCTCTTCCACCGGTTCTCCTATAATATCGTCTTCGTCGATCGCCTCACCCGGTACGTCGTCCTCTTCTTCTTCCACTGCAGTCGAAACTGGGAGCATTCGTACTTGTGTATCCTCGACCGTCTTCCATTTACCCTTTCTTTCTTCGCTGCTCTCCTTTTCCGTAGTAGCCAATGACGGAGGGTTCTCAAAACTCCGGACGAACAGTTCCTGGCTTTCAGCTGGGAAAACACACCATCCCTCCCACAGATTAAGAACGAGATGGATGCTGCGTTTCCACTTTTCGGCACGGAGACGACCCCATTTGAGTCGCTCTGTCATGAGACCGAGTGTCTCAAAGGTCTTGCGATCCTTCAGTGCCGTCTCGAATAGTTGCCGGAACCTCCATGCATGCCGTACGGTGCTGGTCGATGAGGACGACAATATATCACTCACAACATATAAGCCTACTAGGCTGGCAGCACTTATATCGACGCCCTCCTCCTTTGATGCCTCTTCCTGTCCGCTTGGCTGCAAGTCTTTGGCAGCCGGTTTCTTTTCAGGGTTCGCACCGGTAAGAGCAAGTGGCTTCTCAACGTTAAATGTGATCATTCCCACAACCTCGTCCACTCCACAACTAGCATGAGCGATCGCAAAACTTGTTACCCTCGCAACGTCGCCCTTCCTTAACCTCGACATTGATGTCGGCAATCGCGCGAGTAAATGTGTAAGCTTAGCCTTATCCAAGGGGTTGAGGAACGTTTTATCAGAATCGGCGTCTGCGGTTTCTTTCTTGTTCTCGTCGTCGAAATCCTCTTCGTCTGATGAGTTGTACTCTGAATCGGATACAAATTCGTCGAGTTTCGTTGTGTACTCATATTTGAGATTTTTCTCGGGGGCTTTCCATGCATGCGAACCGTCGAAGAGAGGGACGTATTTACCCTTCTGCCGTGATTGTTGCGAGCCTGTGATGATCTCCCATAGCCTCCATCGATACCATATGCCGCCTTGACTTCTTGCATCCCATATCCACGCCCATTTTTCTTCGCTTTGGACTTCAGGCCGTGACATGAGCAACGCCTCAAACTCTGGGCCGTGCTCAAGAACGCCCTCGATGACCTTGCTGATTAACTGGATCGTCTTAACATCCGATGGCGGTTTTACTGGCACATGTAGAAGATTCGACCTGTTGACACCAGCCCCTGGAGGACCATATGAGGTAGGAGGTGCAAATCCTTTGCGGAAGCCATGCTGTGCTGGCGCATTCTGTGGTCCCGATGACTGTTCGACAGGCTTCGCCCCGAAAGGATGGGATGCTGCGTTGGAACCAATAATTGGCAGCGCCGCCGAACTTGCGACAGCTGAAGAAAGATGTCGATGGAGAGACAAGTAGTAGCCATAGCCCAAGTACCGGTTCTGCAACGCATTCACGGCCGCTTCGATTTCGTTTGCGGGTGTATCCTGGGACAATACCACTATCGAAACAGCGTGCTTCCGTTCTGATCCAGCGGGGCCCGTGGAGGGAGTAATTTTGACGTCCTCAACCACCAGATTCGCTGGGATCAGTGCCTTTATCGTAGCTGGTGAAGTTCCGGGTGGTATATTCGACAGCCGTAACGTGGGCTTCGCAATCGCTTTTTCTTCGGCTCTATTTGTCGCGCCATCCATATCCTCATCGTCGCTCGTGTTGAAAGCCCTAGATGCTGGAATTGGTCCTCTACTACCGCCTTCGTCATAACTCAGTACTCCCTTGTCGCGAGGTCCCCGCGCAAAGTCTTGAAAAGATCGCTTCTTTCCAAACGAAGATGGTGGTGGCCCCAAACTTCCAGGACCGCTCTTCAGTCCTGATGTGCCGAAGTGTCGTCTACCGGGTCCTGAGGGAGGCGGCGGACCTCCAAATCCAGGCCGTGGACGCGAGAACGCTGAAGAGCTGGGTGCGCCATGGCCATCGTAATCATCGTCGCGATCGAAACTTTTAACAAATTCGTTGTACACGGCGGCGGTTTCGGCTTCTTCTCGTAGTCGCTTGGCTTCGGCCTCTGCTTTTTGCTTCTCGAATGCGGACTGCTTGGTGGGTTTTTGAAGTTTAGCCTCCAAGTTTGGAAACTCGGATGGGCCCTTTCCGGATGACATGGTTGTAGTTGTGTCGCAAATGGTTTTGATCAGTACATTTCTAGTCCTCGTAAATGATTTCGGGGTCGGAGATGGAGAAAATGTCGATTACAAGAGATAGCGAGGGTGATGTCGCCTGGAGCTGAGCTTAACCAGCTGTCGCAACTTTCGGCGCGTTTTAGTTAACCTGGACTCGAGCATGGGTGGGTCCCTTCAAGTAATCGCTTCTATTAGTAGTTTCACTGGTATGAATATGGTAACTGAGTCCTCACAAGAGGTACTAGAGAACTTGCTGTCAAAAATTTGGCATGTAAAACATAATAGACAGCTCAATAGACAGTTTATAACACCAATTTCAGATGATATCAACCGATCTACCTATTTCGACTTACATCTTCTCTTCGGCCAGGTCTTTCGAACCCCGAGAATAGGGTAACTTCAGTTTCAGTGTCAATACGGAGTAGGTATAGATCACCCCCTAAGCAAATATCATTATATCTCCGAAAATATATCTTTGGCTTAAGATATCGAGCTAGTAGGTCTTCACTATAGGACTGTCACATTGTTTACGTAGGGAGTTAAAGGGCTACAAGCTTCTATTCTAGTAAGGCTGTTTTGCGTTTGAACTTTAGTGCAAGTTCGGATGTAACTTCCAGGAAAGATATGGTTCTCATTGGGCTAAAATGCAGGAAATAAAGCGGAATACCGACATACAAGAAACCAATAATAGAATAGAAAAGCTTTCTGGACCCTTGATGCATTCAATTTACTCATATCATTTTCTGAACGATTGTGTGTCTGCCGCTATCGGCATCACGTGATAACCTTTGGAGGGGGAAAGTTTTGAAGCTGGAGGAAGATTGATTTGATACCCAGGAACCAGAAACCAGTAACTCACGCATATTGTGCTTATATTTCTCCAAAATGTCCAGCCAGGATAACTCACCATGCCGGATCCTTGTCATGGCCTCGGGCTTTGGCTCTAACTTCCAGGCTATCATAGATGCGATTTCTTCAGGATCCCTCCCCAACAGTCGCATCATTTCTCTCATCGTGAACCGCAAGAATGCACATGCGACTGTTCGGGCAGAGAAAGCAGGTAGGGCATATCGTGTAGCTTTGTACACGATACGGCGAATGCTGTATACTTATTCACACGGAGACTAACTCACAACCAGGTATTCCCTGGGAATATTTCAACCTGATCAGTGGTGGATTCCTGAAGAAGGGCGAGACAGATGAGCAGAAGGTCGTCGAAGGTCGTCAAAAGTACGACGCTGCATTGGCCGAGAAAATCCTCTCAGCAGAGGTGAAGCCTGAACTGATTGTTCTTGCTGGCTGGATGCACGTCTTCTCAACTGCTTTTCTGGATCCCGTAAAGAAGGCGGGTATCAACATTATCAACCTTCACCCGTCAGTACCCCAGAGATGTACTGCTTCAGGACTCGTTTGGATGCTAACAAGGCCTTTTCAGTGCCCTTCCTGGAGAGTTTGACGGAGCCAACGCCATTGAGCGGGCTTATGATGAGTTCAAGGCCGGACGACTAACACGATCGGGTATCATGGCCCACTACGTAATTGCTGAGGTTGACAGGGGTACTCCCATCCTGGTCAAGGAGATCGAGTGGAAGGGCGAGAGTCTAGACGAGTATAAGGAGAAGGTGCACTCTCACGAACACGAGCTGATCGTGAATGCAACGACCAAGGTTGCGCAGGAGACAGTCCAAAAGCGATCGTCATAGCATTGGGGCGATACCATCAAAATTGGATCTCAAAGCAGAGCCATAAACAAATGAAACAAAAGTACACTACAAGTGTATAACGCAACATATCATTTGTAAGATCAGACGAAGGGGCAGCTGGTGTCTCACTTCTAGATTAAATGTGCTCACAAGAAGACTACGTGGAAGACGGTAAGACTAGACTACTCTGTACTCTGTATTTGAATCCAGAAATAGAACATCATGAAGCCCAAGACTCGGCGGATCTATCAAGCCTGGACAGACAATTTCTCCTCGATATGAATTCATTTCCGAGAAACGAACTCATGTACTGAATATCCGCGTTAACTGAAACGCCGTCTCTCGGCTTATTTCACCTGCCTATTCCACTCGCCCCGCTATAGGACTATGCAGTCAAAATGCCGTCTAAGTGGTGTTGCCCTTAGTTCACCTTCCCTTCTGGTCAGCTCATGTCATATCAGGTTCCAACTTCAACTTTTAACAAACAAGTTTTCTTTTGCTGCTACAAACGCTTCAACTATTATCATCTAAGACCCTGTTTGGCTTGAAATGCACTTTGAAAACAAACATGAAGTAGGACGGAAAGTATCCGACAAGTCCATCTGATGTTCTATCATAGCTTGGACTTGGCCTCTCCGACGGTCGCCCTACCCTTTGCAAGCTCGTCACATAATATTAATGGACGACCACCTCGGCTTCCGTCTTCTGTCATCAATCCTTGATAGACACCGTTCGTCTCTCTTCCGACACCATCATTCTTCATCTCTCTCCATTGCCACTTCTCGCCGAGCTTACCACCCTGGCCTTGCATAACGTCGACAATCTTCTCGCCAAGGTTGGGCAAGAACTTGTACCCGTGCCCACTGTCTCCAGTCGCGACGAAAAGTCCCTTCCAGCCTGGGTGGTAATCGATGAGCCACTCGCCGTCTCGTGTATCCGAGTACCAGCAAATTCGAGCCTCCTTCCAGGGGCGGTTTTCTAGGCCTTGCACGGGACAGAGGTCCTTGAGAGCACGGCGGAGATCCTGATCGGCCTCGACGGAAAGAGGGTTCATGGCGGCGTTACGGGAGGTGTATGGTTGCGATGCGATGAAGGATTCCCTCTTGTCATTAGGGGATGGAGGAAGAGCATTGTCAATCTTGACAGGATTGATATATCCAAATGTGTGGCGAGCGACCTTGAGGACGTTGTTTCGGGGAGGAATGAGGAACAGACCAGTGCTGAGGTTCAACACCACGGGGAAGTTATCCAAACGCTTCTGCTCCTCTGGTGTAATGTCCATGTAAACGACTGCATGGCCAGTGGCCTCTGTTCTACCTCGAAGATCGACAAGCGAACCCGACCAAGCACCAGCAGCAACCATGACCACATCAGCATTGAGGATCTTGGAGTCGCTCAGCTTGGCACCAACGACTCGGTCACCCTCTGTCACAAGTTCCGTGACCTTGCCATTGACGAACTGGATGCGTCCAGTGGCATTGGCCTGCTTGTAGAGCCACTTCATGCCCTCTCCGGCATCGGCCCAACCAGAGTTGCCGTTGAGGTAGCCCCAATCTCCAGGATATCCCTTTGTGCCGAGGAACTCCTGTAGTGCCTTGGTGCTCTCCAGCTTCTGAATCTTGTCCATGGGCAGACCGGTCTTCTTGGCAATCGATTCGACGTTCTTCGCGCTCTCCTTTGTGTAGTCCATGCCGGACTTCTTCATCTTGAAATCCTTGGGTGTCTCGCTTGCGCAAAGGACAAAGCCGGACTCAGAGTATCGTCCCTGGCCACCGACATCGTCGTCGCCTTGCTTGCGCCATTCCTTCTGCGCCTCGGCGGCGAGCGCAGCGTAGTATGGGTCGGAGTAGTCCGCTCGCACGATTCGAGACGAGTCTACACTGGCACCATCCTCGGGAGGGAATTCGCCAGCATACTCTTCGATGATGGTGATTGTGGTGTTGGAGTAGTAAGGTCGCTTGGTCAAAGCCCAGGCGGTACCGAGGCCAAAGACGCCAGAGCCGACGATGAGGATAGAAGAGGGAGCACCAGCCATTGCGACAGACGGATGAGAAGTGATTGCAGTTAAGAGCACAGAGTACAAGCTTCTGCGCGGGAACAGTCACTTATTTACAAGATTGTCAACAAAAGAAAGTCCAGATGGGCCGATAATCGCGAAAGACTTTTCCCCGTTCCCACACCGATCCCGGCGCTGGCCGGCTGGGGAGGCGTCGCCAAAGTCACTAGAACGGAACTAAAGCTCGGTTGATGAGCATTGGGGTTGCCGACAATCGGGGTTAGTCTGAACGTTGTTGACCTTGAAAGATACCATTATTGGATAGGTACGAGTGGATTCTGGGGGTGGTGGATGCACAGCGTTTCGGCTTATCGTTATCGCAAAAAGATGCACATTTTCCGAGCACGGAAAAAGAAAAAAAAGAAAAAACGTCAAAAAGACTTCAAATTTGGGAGAGAACTTGAACTTTATTCATATCTCACTACTGCGAAGAGCTATTGACACCTGGAGTCCTATCTCGCAGGTGGTGGTTCAAGGCATCATGGCGATCACCATATATGCTTGTTGCCTCGCCTACCGACATCTGTCGGGGGATTGCTCTCCGTTACGCCCACGAGCTTGTTGTCAAGCTCGCGTTGGTTTCTTCGAACCATCAAAGGGTTCGCCTCAACAACCCCTCTCGACCTTGTTTCCTCAGCCCCTTCCAACTCGACGGATCCCTGAAATATTAAGAAGCACTCAAATCAATTGAGCGCTTGTGCGGCAGTACCGGCACGAGCAATCTATGAGATGTGTCGCGGGATGAGTATCTTTATTTTTCCCCCTGAACCGAAAGCCCTCGTAAAAACCCCCTTCATAACCGCCCCTGCGAACGCCGTTGCAATGCAGAAAAGATTCAAAATGGTACAAACGCAAATTCCTGGCTTCCAGCCTGGGCATCAAGACCAGGCGGAAACCAGAAAGTAGAAAAGCAATCGTGGTATCGTGACGGTTTATCTAGTATTACACGTCGATGAAGTAGTGATATGCCAGTAGCGGATGGCATCTTAGACCTTTCGGAAATCTTTGATTTTGGTTAGCATTTAGGCGATCAAGAAGAGTAACTAAAAACAAACCTTTCAACACAGGATAGATCATCTCGAACGCCTGGTAGATTTCCTCACGGACTTTCGCACCAGTCAAGACGATCTTCCCACTAACGAAAATAAGGAGCACAATCTTAGGCTTGATCATGCGGTAAATAAGACCAGGGAACAACTCAGGTTCGTAAGAACTGAAATTGTGGTGGCGAGATGCCAGACCCTCCAGTCGGATAGGGAACTTAATGTCACAAGAACCAACAATGTTCTGAATCTTGAAGTCGGTGAACTTGGCGTTGAAACCAAGCTTCTGGATGATACGAGCGTATTTTCTTGAAGCGAGCTTCGAATCATCCTCCGACTTAGCACCGGTGACGACCATCTTGCCAGAAGCGAAGATCAGAGCGGTGGTCTTGGGCTCGCGAATACGCATAATGACGGCTGCAAAACGCTTTTGTGTGTTAGCAACGTGCTTGAGCTAGATATACACGTAGAGTCTCATGTACCTTGGGGTTGTACTCTGCGTTGCGCGCGTGCAGTGCAATGGTCTTGAGATCCAAACGGCAGTCAAGGTTCACTGTAGCCACGATGTTCCTTTAAAGTTTGCGAGATAAGCCTCACTGAGCATAACAAGGTCACTCAGGAGGATACATACTGTAGAGTGGGAGTGATTCCACTGGGTCCTTGAGTAGCAGCAGGCGTCGCGACAGGCGTTGCGGGTTCCACCCCATGGCCGTTTGCCGCCTGCTGGCCATTGGGAGCAGGTCTCTGAGCGGCGTCACCGTTACCGATGGGCGGCGGCGTCAACTCATTGGTCGCTCCGGGGAACGACAGCGATCCGGGCGCAGTGAAGGCCTTGGCTTGCGCCGCGTTCGAGGGGTGTGTTTGAATACCTTCCATGGTTGGTGTCGGTATCGAGAGAGGTCACCGGTTATGAGCAATCGCTGAACAGATCTAGGAGTAGATCGAGGTTAGCATCGCGTGTCAAACGATAATAGTATGCATCCTACCCTGGTCGGTAGATGCGATCGCGATGTAGAGGACGGAACGGGACACAAAAAATGCAGCGCCGTTGTGATAATGCGGGAGGGAAGTTGAGAAAAGGGAGAAGAAGCTGGCCTTTTATAGGCCGAGTGGGGCAGTGTAGTGAATCATGGAGTACCTACCAATAGCGGGAGAGAAACAAGTGAATGTGTCCCCTACAAAGAAACTGACCCAGCAATTGAATAGATAAAAGTTCTTGGAAAGCGTCGAATAAGAAAATTCGATGCAGAACAATTCGGAGGATGCGTTCGGTTTTTTTTTTGGTGGGCGATACTAGAGATATCGACCCAAGTATTAGGTATAGGAAGACCAAAAGCTTCCTTCACTTCACGGCAGCTTCTTTGTTTTTTGTCTTTTCTTTTATTGTTGTCTACAACAGCACAACGATTCGAGGGTGACGATGACGGTGTTCGGCGGGTATCGCTTCGTTCCGGTCGTCGTTGATATCGATTGCGCGCAAGGAGCGAAGAGTGCAAGGAACGTGTTTCAGTCCTTTTTTTTGTGACCTGGTGGCTGAGGGTTGTCGGCACCAAGGTCTTTTCTTCCTGAGCTAGGGAGTGGGATCACGTCTGCGAGAAGGCAAGACTGTGACGTAGAGAGAAAAAGAGAAATGACAATAACCTTTTTATCCCAGAGAGATATGAGGCTGTGAGTATTGTCAAAGGGTAGTTGGAGGTAAGGTGAGGGAGGTGTGATGTGGGGTGTGACGTCGTGGGGGGAGCAAAAATAAAAGAGAGGCCGGACGTAAGTGGTTGGTACGTAGGGCCGTCAGTCGAGACTTCCGCGCAGGTCCTTCGAAACAGGCGGGCGAGGGGAGGGCTGGCTTCTTATAATTTTGGGCAAAGGCTTCTCAGGCAGGACACCCCAGGCAACAACACAACCTGTGGCGTCGCCGCTGGCAGGCTTGGCGTGCGCTAGTGTAGACACTAAACTCTGTCGGTCCAATCAAACACTCTTGCGACGCTGACTTTATCTCCTTTTTTCCCACCCACGCACCCCAGTCCGGGCATTGAGCCCCTGAAGTGTCGCTATAACAAACTCAAAGTCCATGTACCAGTGACTTTGCGACACGAACCTCAGTTTTCGTTGGTTTACTTTTTTCCAGTGCCTACCTACCACCTGCACTGCGCTGCACTGAACTGAACTGCAAAACAAAAATCTCTTGGATCGCCACTAACAAGCAAGCAAGTTGGCAAGGTGCCCTGCTGCCCAATGCAGGCCGCGTAGCAGCTCGCTCTCGACTTTTGTTTTCCTTTCATTATTCACCGAGAAACGAAAGATCACAAGAAGAGGTCTTTGGGTTTCTGTGTTGACAGAAAGTCAGGCTGCTGGTGCAAAAAAA